GGCATTAAATCTACTGTAGAATCATTATCTAATTCGAAAAACTCATTGTTATATTTAACTTCCATCGCAACTCTAAATTTAGAAATTTTCCTTTTAAGAGATGAATTAGCCAAAAATCCAACTCTGCCTTATTACCAGGAATGTTTTTTTTCAGACTTCAATACAGTCCCAGAATATCTAGCTTTTGCATTAACTTCGGAAATGAAATATTTTGTAGTTTTAACTGAAAACAAAGCAGCAATTGAAGAATTGTTGATTACTTTGATCTTACAAGTATTTGAGAAGTCCCCTATGGTATTAAGTCAATTAATTAAAAAATTACCTGATGATGAAAAACTTGTAGAGGCATCAAAATTAATGTTGACAAAGGATAACTTACCGATTGCAAATTTCGTTAAAATATTAGCTGACGAAGGTAAATTGGATAATATTATCAATAGATTACCGTTCTCGGAAGCATTTAAAGTTTTCCCAAGTGCAAGAAAAGTCGGCTGGTCTGGGTTCCAAGGCTATATTGCAAACAATTTAAACAACAATAATGTAGCAATAATTCTAGATAACCTGGAAATTCAATGTAAGATGACAGAATCAAACACTCAATATAGATCTTCCAAAGTTTTCGATATTCCCGCTTTACATTATTTAATTACAACCTTAACAAACTTCCCAATGAATGCTTTAAACCGTGAAAAATTTGATGCAGTTCAATTATCTGTTATTATTGTCTTTCCTAGGATAATTAATTTTGGTAACGGCCATGATCAGGCAATATTGATGAATGGTGATTTAACAGCAATTCAAACAGAGGTTGAAAAGGAAATGCAAAGTTATCTACAAAAAATGTATAGCAGTGAGTTGGCAATTAAAGATATCATAGACGTTTTAAGAAAATTAAGAGATAGTGATAATGCTAGAGATCAAGATTTATTTGCATGTATGACTCATGCTGTATTGGCAGAGTCTACCTTTTTCAAAGACTATCCTCTTGAAGCATTAGCAACTACTTCTGTTTTGTTCGGTTCCATGATTTTGTTTCAAATATTACGTGGCTTTGTCTTAGATGTTGCTTTTCGAATTATATTAAACTTTGCAAAAGAAGGACCAGACTCAAAGATGTTTAAATTTGCTGTCCAAGCAGTCTACGCGTTTAAAATGCGTTTAGTTGAATATCCTCAATATTGTAAGGATTTATTAGAACAGGTTCCAGGTTTACAAACCCAACCTCAAGTTTTTCAAGCAGTAACAGAAGCTGCATTATTAGCAGATTCCAGATCCAATGAAGTCCAAGATAAAAGTTCAACACCAACAGAATTTATTGTGATGAGATATTTTGTCGTAGATGAATTAAAAACATCTGTTGCACAAGAAAACCCACCCAAAGAAATAGTTGAAAAGATATTATTTGTGGTCAATAACATGACTATGGAAAACTTCGATGATAAAATACCAGATTTAAAGGCAGTATTGTCACCTGCATATTCTTCTTGGTTTTCTCAATACTTAATAAACCAGAGGGTTAAGACTGAAACAAATTACCACCCATTATATTCCAAAATTATTACTTCTATTGGCTATGATTTGTTGCATGACTTCATGATTAATGTAACATTAAAACAACTTTTGTTCCTAATTTCAACAAAAGACATCCATGGTATTGATAGAAATATTTTGAAAAGTTTATCATCCTGGTTGGGTAGAATTACACTGGGGTTGGATAAACCAATAATCCATAAAAACATTGCTTTCCGTGAATTATTACTGGACGCTTATAAACAAAATAGATTGGAGATCATCATTCCTTTCGTATGTAGAGTTTTAATGAACACGGAAGATTCTAGGGTATTTAGTCCTCCAAATTCATGGACTATTGGTATCTTAAAGCTTTTGATAGAAATGAACAATAAAGCTAATTGGAAATTGAGTTTGACCTTTGAAGTTGAAGTTTTATTTAAAACTTTAAAACTACCTTTAGATGTATATCCTCCTTCAAACTTTTTAGAAACCGAGGATGTAATCGAGGAACTTTCAGGAAATATGAGTGATATCTCATTAGAGCAAAGACAACTGGAACAGCAAAGACAAAGAATAATAATGCAGCAATATCAACAATATATGATGCTTGCCCAACCAAGACAGCAAAATCTCCCACAAACAGCACCAATCATTCAAGGTGAACAAGGACCAATACCTGGTGAAGCACCCTCAAATGATAATCCATTCGGTAATTTAATAGGATCAACAGTTTTTGTTACTCATCCAGATTTGAGGCGTGTTTTCCAAATGGCGATTGCCAAATCGGTTAGAGAAATACTACCACCTGCGGTTGAAAAATCTGCTAGTGTAGCGGTTGTTACAACTTCAAAAATTATCTCCAAAGATTTTGCTACTGAAGTTGACGATATGAAGTTAAAGACGGCTGCTGTTATTATGGTAAGACAATTAGCACAAAGCTTAGCCAGAGCTACATCAATTGAAATTTTAAAAGATGACATCAGAACGACTACTCAATCATTAGCTCCTAATTTAATGACGCTGGTTTCATCACCGCTTGAAGAACTACAAAAGGCAGTTGATGAGAATATTGGATTGGCATTATCATTGATTGAAAAGGCTGCCATGGATAAAGCCATGCAGGAAATTGGTGAACAGTTGATGCAAGAAATAGCGGTTCGTAGATATCATAAGGAAAGAAGAGCTGATCAGCCCTTCTTAAACCAAAATACAAATCCATACGCATTAACTCTTCCAGAACCACTTGGTCTAAAGAGTACGGGTGTTAGTCCACAACAATTTAGAATATACGAAAGTTTTGGGAAATTCAATACAAATATTGAAAATCCGTCTGGCGTAAGTACAGCATATTCGAATTTGAATCAGCAAGCTCAACTATCTCAACAGCAACAGATTCAACAAATACAGCAACAGCAACAGCAAGTTACTCAATCATATCCAGGAAATCTACAAGCTCAATTAGCACAACCAGCTCAACACACTCCAGTGGCAGGCACGATTCCAAATGAGTTAGAACAAAATCACCGTGTCCTTGTTCAATTAATGGATAATCTGGTGCTTCAAATAAAAGAAAATGCTAGTAAAAAGACACTGAAGGAATTGAATGAGCAAAATCCTATCAAACAAATAATTTTGCAAATTTTGACATTCATTGCAAAGAGTGTCCAAAGAGATCAACTTGCATTAAAGGTAGCTCAAGCAGTTGTGAATAGTTTGTTTGCTACAAGTGAAAGTCCATTGTGCAGAGAGGTTTTGTCAATTTTCTTGGATCAATTATGTTCTCTCTCATCTTTAGCAAAAAAAGATGTAATTTGGTGGTTAATTTATGCTCCAGATAGCAGAAAATTTAACGTTTCAGTCATTTTATGTCTTTTAAATTCTAAACTAATAGATGGTAATAATCTAGATACAATGTTGTCGATTGCTTTAGAAAATAATGTAGAAAACTCAGTTGCTTTTTCGATTTCCATTATCAAAGAAACATTACTTGCTGATGAACCTATTTTAATGAGAATGGATTTCATCAACACAATGAAGGTTCTAAGTTCATTGGAAGTTGATATTGCAAAAAAATTCATTGAAGAATATGAATCTAATAAAATTGTGCCAGTATTGAAAAATGTGGATGTGTCAGAAACAGAAAAGTATTATTTGATTTTTACTGAATGGGTAAAATTATTACAAAAGGTCGAACATGATGACGAATTGGTCACAGTATTTTTAAGACAAATGGTGGATAGGGGTGTTTTGTCTGATACTGATAGTTTGATTAATTTCTGTAAGGCCTCTTTTGAATTATCTATTCTTGCATTCAAAGCCAGTGACCCGACTGGAGAAGTATTTGTATCCATTGATGCACTTGCAATGTTGGTTACAAAGTTGTTAGTAGTGCAAGAGTTTGAGGATTATAGTAGAAATGAATACCTAGACATAATTTTCTGCATTTTAACTATGGTTTTCTCAAAGGACCATGAACAAGATAATTCTACATTTAATGAGAGACCTTACTTCCGTTTCTTTTCCAACATTCTCTCAGAATGGAGCTCTTTGAGAGGCCATGATTTTATTAAAATTACGGACCAACAAATAAGAAAGGAATTAATCGAATTTGATAATTATTTCTATAATACATTTGCATCCTATTTGCACCTGATTCAACCAGTAGCCTTCCCAGGTTTTTCTTTTGCTTTCATCACCTTACTATCTCATAGAATGTTTTTACCGAACATGCTTCGTTTGGAAAACAAATCTGGTTGGAAAAACCTAACAATTCTGATCATTGATCTATTTAGATTCTTAGATCAGTATACCGGTAAGGTTGGTATTTCTAATGCAATTTCTGTTGTTTATAAAGGTGCATTGCGTGTTATTATTGGTATTTCAAATGACTTCCCGGAATATTTGATAGAGAACCATTATGAATTTATGAATGCGTTACCTTCATCATATGCTCAATTGAAGAATGTCATGCTGGCAGCAATTCCAAAGAAGATTATGTTGCCAAATCCATACGATAATGGATTGGATATGGACAAGATTGATTCATGTAAAATGCAACCTACTGTCTTTTATGATCCTGTTGTGGATTTACATTCTTTTAAAAAACCTGTTGATAATTATTTGCGTATCCCATCCAATTCCTTAATGAGAACCATCATAAACGGTGTGTACAGAGATGAATATAGTTTTAAGAGTGGCATTGGCTATGATTATGTTTCAGTTGATCAAAAGCTTGTTCGTGCAGTTGTGTTACATGTTGGTGTTGAAGCGGGTTTGGAAAGTGAAAAGACCTCATCTGGTGCTATATTTAACGCCAAATCGTCTTATTACACATTGTTATTCAATCTATTAAACGAAGGTAGCAGTGAAGTTAGGTTCAAGGTGATTGAGGCAATGATGGAACAATTAAGATATCCAAATATCCATACACATTGGTTCACTTTTGTTCTTAAAAATATGTTCACTTCTGAGGAATGGGGTGAACAAAAGTCAGAAATCCAAGAAATTATACTACGTAACATCTTTGAAAGAATTATTGTTAATAAGCCTCATCCATGGGGTGTGACTGTATTGTTTACTCAACTACTCAACTTGAATAATGTCAAGTTGTTATCACTACCATGTGTAAAGAAAGTTCCTGAAATTGAAAACATTTTAAAAATCTTGGAAAAACAAACTTATAATATAACTTCATCCATTAACAATGATCAACAAAATCATACTCAAAGTATATCTACAATGTAGGCATCATGATCAGTTAAAATTCAATAACCTCGTTAATTTGTAACTATATAATTAAAAATTGACATTTATAATATCATTAATTTAATCTTTTTATGTATAGCTTAGTTAGATATGCCGAATTGAAATATATCAACTTGAAATTTAAAAAAGAAATCAAAGTAAACGTTTATATAAAGAACTATAAGTTTACTCAAGATTTATGAGCAAGTGACAGAGATCGACGACTATAAGCTAATGATCAATATTTGAGTATAATTCGTCTCTTAATTTGTGTATTAATCAATTTTTATTTCATTATTTTTTTGTTTTGCCAAGTAAGGTTCATATTTAATTTAGTTTTAACCGTTGTATTACAATTGAAATGGCATTTTCGTTAAGGATACCAAGGTTATTAGGTAGTTCAGATACAGAAAAGCCTAAACCTATCTCTAAGAGGCCCCCAAATACTGCATTCAGACAACAAAGATTGAAATCTTGGCAACCAATACTTACACCACAAAGCGTATTACCTTTATTAGTATTATTTACTTGTATTTTCACACCAATAGGTGTTGGGTTAATTATAGGAACTTTACATGTCCAAGATATCATAATAGACTATACAAAATGTGAAACATTGGCAAATTTAGATAGTTTTACCGAAATACCTTCAAAATATGTTAATTACCATTTTAAGCAAGAAACATCTATAAAGCCAGGATGGCAAATACAAGAAAATTCTGATGGTCAAAGAAGTTGTCAATTGCAATTTGAAATTCCTAATGATATAACATCTTCTGTTTATGTGTTTTATAAACTTACAAATTTTTTCCAAAATCACCGTCGATATGTAACTTCTTTTGATAGAAATCAGTTGAAGGGTAAAGCTGTTAAAATAAGTGAATTGGATGAAAGTTGTAGACCTCTACGAGAATTTGGGGATAAAGCTATCTATCCTTGTGGTTTAATTGCTAATTCTATGTTTAATGACACTTTCGCTAAATCATTGATTGGAGTAGAAGAAACTACAGATTTCGAGTTAACAAATAAGGGGATATCATGGAGCATAGATCGTAGTAGATTTAAGAAAACTACATATAATGCATCAGATATCGTACCTCCTCCAAATTGGACAAAGCTATACCCAGATGGATATACAGATGAAAATATTCCAGATTTACACTCTTGGGAAGAACTTCAAGTTTGGATGAGAACTGCATCTTTCCCAAATTTTTATAAGTTAGCAGCTAAAAATGAAACTTCAGATTTACCAAAAGGTCAGTATATATATAATATCGAATCAAATTATCCTATTTCTGACTATGGTGGAACAAAATCTTTCGTATTAAGTACAAGTTCAATAATCGGAGGTAGAAATGTTTCATTGGGGGTGGTTTTTTTAATCGTTGCTGGTATATGTATCATATTCACATTTATATTCCTCATTAAGATCATCTCTCAACCAAGATCAATGGGTGATCAAACCTATCTTCATTTTGACGTCTCTACGGATACATTTGAAAATGAAGCAAACACACCTCCAAGGGAAATATTATGATCTGATAACTTCCCTATCTCATTTTCATATATATATCATCAAGAATATGTTAAGTTACATGTGAATAAGTAAAAAGAAATACTTTCAATCACAGAATTTATAAGTTAGAGAACAATCAATTGAGTAACCCTCCTATTTTATCGATCTATTACAGTATGTCTCTTCTATAAATAAATAACAATACTTGAAAAAAATCATAACGGGTTTATTTATTACCAAACCATAATCTTTCAACGATCTATTATTTCAGACTTATCTAACCCTATTCTTATTACTATTCGAAATGGTTAATTAACCAATTTACTAATTTAGTAGCGAAGTACTGGAGATGAAAAAAATTTTCCACTTCTTTCTTTATTGGTGGATAACGGAAAAATTGGTCCATATATAAACAGAATGAAAAGTACAAGAAAATTTTATTCTATTTCTAATTTAATTCCTATTAGAGGTTGGATGGTGTAATTTTTATTTCATTTAGTGCTTTTATTAAAAGATCAATTGGGACTTTATCTCCATAGCTATGACGAGTACAGGTAGTTGTGGTAAACGAATCCCAGATATTAGAATTCATTTCTACGCGTTATTGTATCTTTGATGCAATAAACAGAGTGTTAAGAACAACTTTTAGTTATTTTATTCAACTTCTTTGCATTTTGAAGACGTGTTACATTATTTATGTCTATTATATGAACTATATTTACTCTTCAACTAGTCAGCTAATATTTGTGGGATATTTATAGTAAATTAAAATATTAAAAAATATGATTTTTATACATAGATTTATTTATAAGAATCCCTAGAGTTCCTTTATCATCAATAGTTTACTAATGATGAACATTTACTTTTGTTGTAGTAATCGCATTGCATTTTATTGGATTATCTGTGAATTAACTTGTGTTATTTTGTATCATGCATTAGAGAATATGTGTTTATTCTGTTTCCAATTCCACTTCTAGAGATGATGCTTTCTCAATCGTGAATGATTTAATAGGGTTTTAGAAGCAATTGTTTTTTTACTTCCTTATCCAGAACAGCCTAAGACGTCATTTTGTTCAAGAAGTGATTTTTTTAATTTCATTGAACACTACTGTTTATCTGCCACTATATATATTCTTGTTATTCCTCTTGGCTCTAAAAATTGTATTAGTTTGTATAGTTTGCCGTACTGTGGTTTATTTAACTAAAGTTGATAAAAGGATATTAATCAGGTTGGTAGTAGATGTATTGAAGATTTATTTGATAAACAAAGAAACAAAGTAGATTTTCTGCTCTTTTCTTTAATACCCTTTATATTTTGATATTTTGTTCGGCATCCAATATATTGTTGCTTAATTTCATAATTGTTTTCACTTAAAAAGTGTTTTGAAAATATAAAAGAAAAACAAAACATAAACATACACATAGGTTAATAAAAAGTGAAAGATAAGAGCTAATTAAGTATACTATGATTATATTATCAAGATAAAACCACGAAATTCTCGTATTTACCAGTGTGATATTATTGATAACGTGAACTAACCACATTCCATATTCAACTAGTTAGTTTTAGCTAAACTATGATGCATTGTAAGTAAACTTCCAATTAATAAAAATAAATAAGATTCAGCATAAAATAAAGGCTTCTATATACTTATCCCCAATTGAAAATTAACAGTATTAAAAACAAAAACCAATTAGTGGTAACGGTTGCATCACTTGTTCATATTGTTACGCTTCAATTATAAAATACATCCAAAATTACTCTGATATCACACAAAATACGACAAACAAGATTAATATTAAAGTTGAAATTCCTAAACTCTAATATTTTAGTAAATAACTAAATAATAGAGTCATTAGATCCTTATTAATGTTAAAAATTTATATGTAGACTAAATTCTCTGTTTTCTCAGTGTTCAATTAGACAAGTTATTTCATTCTTTTAAAAAGTTCTAAACAAATTGATAAATACTGAATTTTTTTCTTGTCTTAAGGGTTGATTAATTGCCAATGTTAAAGACTGTTACACGATAAGGTAACGGTTTGAAGTCCTTAAGTTTTATTACGTTATAAATGGACAGCAATTTCTAGGAAGGTGTACATATCCGTATCTTTTTGAAAGAAATCTATCTTTCTTTGAATTGTTCAATTATGAATGTTACTCACCAAAGATTAATTAAATATTGAAAATGACCTTATTTTTACGTTCAGCCAAGATTTCTGAATTAATTTTATACTTTGAATTTTCATCCAGATCTTAAATTTTTATAATTTGTACCTAAAAAACATGAGTGTGTTATAAATATTTGAAAGCAAATAAGAAGCGTATAAGCCTAACTTGGATTCAACATATAAATTAAAATACCTTTTTGTGTTCCTTAGGGTTTATGATTGATTTTTATTAAGTTTGAAAATAGCATATAGATAAGAGAACGTTTGCTTGTAACATAAAAAAAGCAATAGCATAATTTGAAAATGCAGCTACTATTAAAACGAAAAACCAATAATCAATACTTTTTTAACGTGGATTGAGTATTATATAATATTTTAATTACTATTTTTTAGAGGTATAATATCATCATATCAAAAATTCATCTAATGGTTAAAGATGCTTGGTGGCAACAATTCATTTTTTCTGCATGCCTGACATCTTCGAGTTGATAATTTTATGTATGAAAGTAAGTGTATAAAAGTATTGTTGCTCTTGGTTTTATCTATCAGTAATCAGGACTCAAACTATTTTAAATATATAGTTAATCTAATCGATATTATTAGGATTTCTTTTAAATCCTAATAATATATAGTTTGTAATTTTATCCAAATGCTATTACTAGTAGCAACAAAGAGATTATTTAGCATTAAGTTCTTTGTTTTTTATTGCCTATATAGGTAAAAGAGGGCATCGAAAAAAACATTTAATTCGTACTGGCTTCTTCAAATGATAATTTCTATTTTTTATTTAGTTTAAGAAAATAGGTGGGTAGATATATAGTTGCAGTTTAATAACATTAAACACGGCTTCCCAAAACAAGTCAGTGCACGAAGCTAATGAATATAGTTAGTAGTACTAACATCCTATCCGTTCTTCAAACGTTTTCATGCTAACTAAACAACAAAAGAATTAAATTAAATTACATTGGTTCTTTTAGGGAAATACAAGAACAGACGATTTCATGTCAAAGTTAATTAGTGCTGTTTGCAATATATAATTCCTTCAAAATTTATTTTATCAAGAATAAGTGTCATTATAAGGTATACGTTTAACTGCCATTTACTTTACGAAGAAAGAATAATTGGCCCTTCATCATCCAAAAAACCAAGACAGTAACAAATCCTCATCAGCAGAATTTTGAAAGTATTTAATAGAATAAGCAAATTTTCCATGGAAATAAAAGTAAAAATAGATCTACCTTTTAAAAATACAGAGCAAGTACAAATCGTCTGCATCGTAGTATAAATTTCAATTAAAATAGATTGATCTATTGCATAAAATTCTATAAGGCAATTTTATGACATAAAATGAATTGCTCATCAATTAAAACCACACTAATTTCTTGCTAGATTGGCATCTTAACGAAAATTTAATAGTAGATGAGATTTTTCTTAGAAAAAATATTTTTAACATACTTGAACAAAATAAGAATACTCGCAAGAGCAGAAGAAACAAAAAATTTCATTATCTGGAAAAAAAGTTTTTAAGAAGACCAAAAATTTATAGTGTTTTTACAGTATATACTGTTCGCCGATTGCCGATATAGCCATCGATAACTTGCAATACTTACTTGATAATAAATTGTAGCTATAAAATTTTTTTTGCACTGTATTCCATGGAATTAATTACCTTTAATTTGATTTAATAATAGTATGATAACTATAATAATAATCTTATTTGATATTCAATTTTCTGGCAGTGATCAGAAACTTTTTTTTTATTACCAAAGAGGACATTTTAAAAAAAAAAGAATTAAAAATTTTAAGAGAATAAACCTACGTAGAAAAGTTTTTCTGTCTGAAGGTAGAGTGAATAACAAGCATCAGGCTAGTAGGACATTGGCAACGCTTTTGAACTAACTTCCAATTTAGGAATGTTAGCTTTTCTTTCTTTTTAATTTTGTACATATCCTTAACTTTGTACACATCCAAATCAAATTATTTTTTATTGTAGATGATCAGTTGTACAACCTAGCTATACATTTGGCTAATAATGTTTAAGAGAAGTAGATGTTCTATTATCTTTGATACTGTCCTCTTTGGTAATTATTACTTGAAATTATATTAAGTAAAGGAAATAGAATATAACTTCTTTTTTCATTCATCAAATATTTTGTTGTGAGTAGCGCCAATCACTGTAGAATAAATATCATTCATAATATTGATTTGTACTTGATTTTTATCACAACTCAACTCAACTCCAGAAATAACGAATTAATGATGTTTTATATTATGTCCAATTAAATTTTAGTTTATAATATGTAAACATTAAAATTTTTTCTACCAAGATTCCTCAGAAATATTTGTTTATTGCGTACAATACCTCTCAAGATATTTGTCCTTCTATTTGATACGTTTCTTTTTATAGTTATTGCCAAAGTGATACACCTTAGAGATAATATCTGGAAAAGTTTTATGCGTGAACTTTTTAGAAGTCGTTTGTTAGCAATTAATTTCCTTATTAGTAGTTTGAAGGACAATAAATATCAAGAGGAACAAAATTTCGAAATTTCGAAATTTTTTGGAAAAGCAGGAAATAGGAAGTATAGGAGTTAAGACCCTATATGCACCTTTTCATATTAAATTTAATAGTGATTTGAATATTTGAGGTGTAGTGACAAATTTGCTCTTTACGTTATTTTTTGTCTTGAAATGTACTGAGTTGCATTTTTGTTGCAATAAGAAAAGGACAAACAAGGTTCAAGTACGTATTATTCTTAAGATATTACAACTATTTACATATCTGAACACCCCTCCCCCCCTGGTTACTAAACATATGCAATGTTGTACCTGTACGTTAGTGGTAATTTTCAGTACTGTTTTTCACTTATTTTTTTCTTTTGTAGGCAGGTTGTTAAAGTAATTACAAATTTTTTTTAGATCGGTTTAACAGAGATTTTCTCATAACTGGATATTTCAAACTGACTTTTGAAGAGTGTTATTGTTCACTAAAGTTATCCACTAAAGTAATGGGCACCGATTCATTTGGTAATGGAATCTGTTGCTCGATTTGAAAGGTGACCTTGGTTTCGATAATTATTTTCCAGATTTAATGCAAAAAAAAATTTCTTTTTTAAGTTTGAAATAAACTAACTACATACTGTACTTACATTCGTCTCTTACTGTATTTTAAAATCTTTTCATATAATGCTGTGTATTTGCCGAGGTACCTTTAATCCACTTTTCTTATTTTCTCTTACTCCTTCTGAGCAGGAATTATTTTATTACTATAATTTTAAATTCTTTAAAACCACCTTTTGAGTATCAATTGAAATTTATTACATTTATATATTCTATTACAATAATTAGTATATTTTCCCAAACTGACTTTTCCAAATTTTATTTCTTGAAGGTATTTCTGATATTGACCTTCAACAAATACCATTTTCATTAGAATAATTTAACAGCAAAGAGTAATTTAGGATTTCGTTTTTATTAATCGATAACTAAGTGGATAAAAATTGATTGATATTCAGCATTGCAAATATCATCTCATAGATATAGAAAACAACCAGAATAAAATATCATTAATATTACAAACCAATTTCTTTTAGAGGGACAGTTAGCAAGTGATATCTAAAATGCGACTCAAACAAGAATTGGGCCATTTCTTCCTGTTTCTGGTGAGTTTTCTTGCATTCTCGCTGGCAACAGAAACAACCACAACTTCTAAATTAGGTTGGTATTATCAATATCCTGAGACATATTCCACTAGTCTTTCTTATACTACAAATTTTGTTATATTTGTAACTACTATTACAATATTATATGTTCATACACCAATTTTTACAACAGGAACTACAACCACTTACTTTAATCCTATTGTCCCAACTAGGTCATTATCTTTAATAGTTACAAAGACAACCGATCAATATGGTAATGATGTTTATGAAACAACTACGGTTATATACTATCCAATCTTAACATCTCAAGCAACTGTTACTACAAGAAGGTTTATGGTATCAAGTTACACATCTACTTTTTCAACTTTGTATAATACTATTGTTGGAGACGATGGTTCAACAACAACAGATATCACATACTTCATTGCCATTCCAGATGCACTTTACAAGGCTACAACTATTGAAGGTTGGACTGGTAATTCAAAATGGACTCATGCTACTTCCACTGTTGTTACTACAGGTAATGATGGGACTTTAACAACTGGTACTGTTTATTACGTCTATACTACAAGAAATGCAGGTTTAACTACATTTGTTCCATGGACTGGAACCTATACAACCTTCTATTCTACCGGTTTGACCTCATTTGGTGGGATTATTGGTGTTGGTCAAACCACCTCTACTTTGTACTGGGTTTATACACCTGCTCGTCTTACCACCATTCCCTGGACTACATGGAGTTCAATCGATTACACAACAACGTGGTCCACAAAATTTGATACTTATGTCGGGTTAGATGGTGAATCGACTACAGATGTAATTTATTTAATTGCAACCCCAGTACGTCGTTATACCTCTACAATATCAACCACAAGACCCTTTAGTGCAGCCTATACATCAACTTATTCAACCTTGTATAATACAATTGTAGATGAAAATGGAAATGTCACTACAGAAACCACTTATTATGTGGCTATCCCCACAAACTTCTTGCAATCGACAACTACTGAGGGATGGACAGGGAATTATTTATGGACCCATACTACCTCAACAATCGTGACCACAGGTGTCGACGGGATTAAAACAACAGGCTCAGTCTATTATGTTTTTACCACCAGAAATAAGGGTATTCAAGTCACAGCTGCTTGGACTGGTACGTATACCACCTATTACAGAACAGCAGTTAGCTATGATGTTCTTTTTGGAGTCACTTTGGGTACCACAACCTATTATTATATATATATTCCAAGCTATGCTGTTTCTGAAACAAGAACAACATACGGAACTTATGCGTACACAACCACTTATTCTACAGGAATGATTTCATATACTGATATTGATGGAAATGTAACCACCGAATATATCTTTTCTGTTTATACACCTATCCGTCGAAAAACGGGAACTCATCTCACTGAGGCAGACATAGGTGGGACTGTTTGCTCGACTTATGAAACAATGTTCAGCACTACAACCGATAAAGATGGAAATGAAACAACAATAACCACATATTATGTTGCTGTACCAACAGCTCTCTACAAGACTACTACAACTGCACCTTGGAATGGGTTTTATACCGTTACTTATTCCGAAGGTTACACAACGGTTTTAGGTAATGATTTACGTTTCACCGTAAAGACCATTTATTATGTCGAAACACCATTTCCATGGGGTTATTATATTACCAATCCTTGGACGGGTAGTTACACCACCTATTCACAAGACGGATATAAATTAGCTTTCGGCTTCTTCTTGATATTTTTCGGTCTATGGCTTTATCCATTGTATTATCTTTCCACACCGATCAGGGCAACGTCGTTTACTGCCTATACTAGTGCATGGGATCTTAACTATAGCTCTACATCTTTGAAAACGAGTACTGTTATTGGGTTTGATGGTGAAGAAACAACTGAAACTATTTACTATCTATTTACTCCTGCCCCAACTATAACAAGTACTTTATACTTCCAAGGTGATTTTGGATTTCTTCAAACAACAACCTTCTTAACCCGGACGACAGCATTCGGTTATGATTATGATTATACATGGGAAATTTTGTATTATGTGTCATTACCACTCAACGCTGCCAAATCAACAACGTTGATACCTTGGACAGGAATTTACGTTTCTACCAAGTCTATTATAACTTCTATCACAACCGATTCAGAAGGTATCCGCTCTACAGTTACTATTTACATAGTTGAAACACCTTCGTTAGCTCCAACTACAAAATATTTAGCATGGACTGGTTCATATTCATCAATTTTGACAACAAGTGTATATACGACATTTGCCAACATCGATAATCTGTTGGCCTCCTGGACTCTAACGGTTATTGTTATTGAAACTCCAATACGCCGTTCCACAGTATATGAGAACACTTATTGGACTGGCTCAGTCTCTACTACATATGATTCTAAAATTTATACTACCACCAATTTTATGGGGGATGCAACTACTGTCACAGTATATTTCGTCCGTACTCCTACAAAGGTCGCCTACTCAACAGTTCTCTACCCATTATCTGGTAGTTCTACTGCCACAACATTCTCAACTGTAATCACAACTTTGCAAGGTAAAGACGGTATTGAAACCACTGAAACAATTTACTTTGTGGCTGTTCCTACAAGTGCAGGTGCTACGACCATCTTTTCGTCTTGGGATAAGCCCTATATTACAATATTATCGACTTCTATTTCTAGAGGATTATTGGACACAATGACGTATTATTACATTGTAACCCCAATCGAAACAGGTGAACTATCGTATGTTCCTTGGGGTGGTGATTACACTTCTACATTTTTGACTACCGTGACTACAAGTTATGGTTATTCGAGCACATTCCTTGGTCTTTGGACGAAGACAATATATCTAGTAGAAACTCCTATAAGGGCCACGACTATTACGAGAATCACTCCCTGGGATCAAAAGGGGACATTCACTTACTCCACTGTGTTTACAACCATAAAAGGCACAGATGGTAATGAAACCACTGAAATTGTTTATTTTGTATATACCCCTTATCGTGCAACAACAATCACTAGTACATCAGGTTGGCAATTACCATATGTTTCCACCTTCAGTATTCTTTATTCAACATTTACAGGTTCAGATGGTATAGAATCAACAGAGATTATCTATATTGTAGGTTCACCTCTTCCTGAATTTACTTCAACCAGTTATACCGCTTGGTCAAACGAAGATTCCCTAACCTTTTCTACACTAGTGACCACTTATACAAATAGCTATGATGTTGTTATAACGGAAACAGTATATTTAGTGAATACACCCTACCGTTTTTATACTACCACAAGCTATATCATTAATACAGAGCTAACTACTGGTAGTACTGTTTCTACTCTTGTAACAACCGTAACAGACAATAGCGGAAACGAAACTACGGAAACGACCTATATTGTTGAACAACCCGTATATGAAACAATTTCTACCTCCTATGCTCCATGGATGAATGAACATTCATTTACCTATTCTACCCGGGAAGAAAAGATTACAGACAAACTTGGAAATTTGGTGACTGAAACGATATATTTTGTATTTACACCTATTCGTGCTTCCACCTCCACCAATATTACATACTGGGATGGCATGACCACCACTTACTCAACAGAAACAACAATTTTCACTGACGGAGATGGAAATGAAACGACTGAAACAATTTATTATGTCAGAACACCTAGAAGAATGTCTTCATCTACTAAATTTTCTTTTTGGTCAGTGAAGAAGATCTCTACATTCTCAACTCAGATAACTATTTTTACCAACGAAGATGGTTATGAATTTACAGAGACAATTTTCTATGTATACAAACCGCAATTACTTTCAACAATTACCAGTTATATCGGGGGTTCTGGACATGTACATTCAACGATCTTAACACATATTGCGACTATTACTGGCACAGATGGATTTGAAACAATTGAGACAATTTATATTGTAGAAACTCCATTTGGTGAAATTTCTTCAATGTATAATTCTACTTCTGAATTAAGCTCAATCGAGACCAGCTCTGCTGAACAATCTGAATTCTACAACTCTACTTCTCAATTCAGCTCAATCGAGACCAGCTCTGCTGAACAATCTGAATTCCACAACTCTACTTCTCAATTAAGCTCAATCGAGACCAGCTCTGCTGAACAATCTGAATTCCACAACTCTACTTCTCAATTCAGCTCAATCGAGACCAGCTCTGCTGAACAATCTGAATTCCACAACTCTACTTCTCAATTCAGCTCAGTTGAGACCAGCTCTGCTGAACAATCTGAATTCTACAACTCTACTTCTCAATTCAGCTCAGTTGAGACCAGCTCTGCTGAACAATCTGAATTCCACAACTCTACTTCTGAATTAAGCTCAATCGAGACCAGCTCTGCTGAACAATCTGAATTCCACAACTCTACTTCTCAATTCAGCTCAGTTGAGACCAGCTCTGCTGAACAATCTGAATTCCACAACTCTACTTCTGAATTAAGCTCAATCGAGACCAGCTCTGCTGAACAATCTGAATTCCACAACTCTACTTCTCAATTCAGCTCAATCGAGACCAGCTCTGCTGAACAATCTGAATTCCACAACTCTACTTCTGAATTAAGCTCAATCGAGACCAGCTCTGCTGAACAATCTGAATTCCACAACTCTACTTCTCAATTAAGCTCAATCGAGACCAGCTCTGCTGAACAATCTGAATTCCACAACTCTACTTCTCAATTCAGCTCAGTTGAGACCAGCTCTGCTGAACAATCTGAATTCTACAACTCTACTTCTCAATTCAGCTCAGTTGAGACCAGCTCTGCTGAACAATCTGAATTCCACAACTCTACTTCTGAATTAAGCTCAATCGAGACCAGCTCTGCTGAACAATCTGAATTCCACAACTCTACTTCTCAATTCAGCTCAATCGAGACCAGCTCTGCTGAACAATCTGAATTCCACAACTCTACTTCTCAATTAAGCTCAATCGAGACCAGCTCTGCTGAACAATCTGAATTCTACAACTCTACTTCTCAATTCAGCTCAGTTGAGACCAGCTCTGCTGAACAATCTGAATTCCACAACTCTACTTCTGAATTAAGCTCAATCGAGACCAGCTCTGCTGAACAATCTGAATTCCACAACTCTACTTCTCAATTAAGCTCAATCGAGACCAGCTCTGCTGAACAATCTGAATTCCACAACTCTACTTCTCAATTCAGCTCAGTTGAGACCAGCTCTGCTGAACAATCTGAATTCTACAACTCTACTTCTCAATTCAGCTCAGTTGAGACCAGCTCTGCTGAACAATCTGAATTCCACAACTCTACTTCTGAATTAAGCTCAATCGAGACCAGCTCTGCTGAACAATCTGAATTCCACAACTCTACTTCTCAATTAAGCTCAATCGAGACCAGCTCTGCTGAACAATCTGAATTCCACAACTCTACTTCTCAATTCAGCTCAGTTGAGACCAGCTCTGCTGAACAATCTGAATTCTACAACTCTACTTCTCAATTCAGCTCAATCGAGACCAGCTCTGCTGAACAATCTGAATTCCACAACTCTACTTCTGAATTAAGCTCAATCGAGACCAGCTCTGCTGAACAATCTGAATTCCACAACTCTACTTCTCAATTCAGCTCAATCGAGACCAGCTCTGCTGAACAATCTGAATTCTACAACTCTACTTCTCAATTCAGCTCAGTTGAGACCAGCTCTGCTGAACAATCTGAATTCCACAACTCTACTTCTGAATTAAGCTCAATCGAGACCAGCTCTGCTGAACAATCTGAATTCCACAACTCTACTTCTGAATTAAGCTCAATCGAGACCAGCTCTGCTGAACAATCTGAATTCCACAACTCTACTTCTCAATTCAGCTCAATCGAGACCAGCTCTGCTGAACAATCTGAATTCCACAACTCTACTTCTCAATTAAGCTCAATCGAGACCAGCTCTGCTGAACAATCTGAATTCCACAACTCTACTTCTGAATTAAGCTCAATCGAGACCAGCTCTGCTGAACAATCTGAATTCCACAACTCTACTTCTCAATTCAGCTCAATCGAGACCAGCTCTGCTGAACAATCTGAATTCCACAACTCTACTTCTCAATTCAGCTCAATCGAGACCAGCTCTGCTGAACAATCTGAATTCCACAACTCTACTTCTCAATTCAGCTCAGTTGAGACCAGCTCTGCTGAACAATCTGAATTCTACAACTCTACTTCTCAATTCAGCTCAGTTGAGACCAGCTCTGCTGAACAATCTGAATTCCACAACTCTACTTCTGAATTAAGCTCAATCGAGACCAGCTCTGCTGAACAATCTGAATTCCACAACTCTACTTCTGAATTAAGCTCAATCGAGACCAGCTCTGCTGAACAATCTGAATTCCACAACTCTACTTCTCAATTAAGCTCAATCGAGACCAGCTCTGCTGAACAATCTGAATTCCACAACTCTACTTCTCAATTCAGCTCAGTTGAGACCAGCTCTGCTGAACAATCTGAATTCTACAACTCTACTTCTCAATTCAGCTCAGTTGAGACCAGCTCTGCTGAACAATCTGAATTCCACAACTCTACTTCTGAATTAAGCTCAATCGAGACCAGCTCTGCTGAACAATCTGAATTCCACAACTCTACTTCTCAATTCAGCTCAATCGAGACCAGCTCTGCTGAACAATCTGAATTCCACAACTCTACTTCTCAATTAAGCTCAATCGAGACCAGCTCTGCTGAACAATCTGAATTCCACAACTCTACTTCTCAATTCAGCTCAATCGAGACCAGCTCTGCTGAACAATCTGAATTCCACAACTCTACTTCTGAATTAAGCTCAATCGAGACCAGCTCTGCTGAACAATCTGAATTCCACAACTCTACTTCTCAATTCAGCTCAATCGAGACCAGCTCTGCTGAACAATCTGAATTCCACAACTCTACTTCTCAATTAAGCTCAATCGAGACCAGCTCTGCTGAACAATCTGAATTCCACAACTCTACTTCTGAATTAAGCTCAATCGAGACCAGCTCTGCTGAACAATCTGAATTCCACAACTCTACTTCTCAATTCAGCTCAATCGAGACCAGCTCTGCTGAACAATCTGAATTCCACAACTCTACTTCTGAATTAAGCTCAATCGAGACCAGCTCTGCTGAACAATCTGAATTCCACAACTCTACTTCTCAATTCAGCTCAATCGAGACCAGCTCTGCTGAACAATCTGAATTCCACAACTCTACTTCTGAATTAAGCTCAATCGAGACCAGCTCTGCTGAACAATCTGAATTCCACAACTCTACTTCTGAATTAAGCTCAATCGAGACCAGCTCTGCTGAACATGATACAATAACGTATACAATTGAACACACCTCCAGATCTTCCGAGGAATCATTGGAAGTTTCCACTTTCACCACTACAGACTCTGAAGGTAACGTTTCCACCGGTACCACCACTTACCCAGTTGAACACACCTCCAGATCTTCTGAGGAATCATTGGAAGTTTCCACTTTCACCACTACAGACTCTGAAGGTAACGTTTCCACCGGCACCACCACTTACCCAGTTGAACACACCTCCAGATCTTCTGAGGAATCATTGGAAGTTTCCACTTTCACCACTACAGACTCTGAAGGTAACGTTTCCACCGGCACCACCACTTACCCAGTTGAACACACCTCCAGATCTTCTGAGGAATCGTTAGAAGTTTCCACTTTCACCACTACAGACTCTGAAGGTAACGTTTCCACCGGCACCACCACTTACCCAGTTGAACACACCTCCAGATCTTCTGAGGAATCATTGGAAGTTTCCACTTTCACCACTACAGACTCTGAAGGTAACGTTTCCACCGGTACCACCACTTACCCAGTTGAACACACCTCCAGATCTTCTGAGGAATCGTTAGAAGTTTCCACTTTCACCACTACAGACTCTGAAGGTAACGTTTCCACCGGTACCACTACTTACCCAGTTGAACACACCTCCAGATCTTCTGAGGAATCATTGGAAGTTTCCACTTTCACCACTACAGACTCTGAAGGTAACGTTTCCACCGGCACCACCACTTACCCAGTTGAACACACCTCCAGATCTTCTGAGGAATCGTTAGAAGTTTCCACTTTCACCACTACAGACTCTGAAGGTAACGTTTCCACCGGCACCACCACTTACCCAGTTGAACACACCTCCAGATCTTCTGAGGAATCGTTAGAAGTTTCCACTTTCACCACTACAGATTCTGAAGGTAACGTTTCCACCGGCACCACCACTTACCCAGTTGAACACACCTCCAGATCTTCTGAGGAATCATTGGAAGTTTCCACTTTCACCACTACAGACTCTGAAGGTAATGTGTCCACTGGCACCACTACTTACCCAGTTGAGCACACCTCCAGATCATCTGAGGAATCATTGGAAGTATCCACTTTCACTACCACAGATTCTGAGGGTAATGTGTCCACTGGCACCACTACTTACCCAGTTGAGCACACCTCCAGATCTTCTGAGGAATCGTTAGAAGTTTCCACTTTCACCACTACAGACTCTGAAGGTAACGTTTCCACCGGCACCACCACTTACCCAGTTGAACACACCTCCAGATCTTCTGAGGAATCATTGGAAGTTTCCACTTTCACCACTACAGACTCTGAAGGTAACGTTTCCACCGGTACCACTACTTACCCAGTTGAACACACCTCCAGATCTTCTGAGGAATCATTGGAAGTTTCCACTTTCACCACTACAGACTCTGAAGGTAACGTTTCCACCGGCACCACCACTTACCCAGTTGAACACACCTCCAGATCTTCTGAGGAATCGTTAGAAGTTTCCACTTTCACCACTACAGACTCTGAAGGTAACGTTTCCACCGGCACCACCACTTACCCAGTTGAACACACCTCCAGATCTTCTGAGGAATCATTGGAAGTTTCCACTTTCACCACTACAGACTCTGAAGGTAACGTCTCCACCGGCACCACCACTTACCCAGTTGAACACACCTCCAGATCTTCTGAGGAATCATTGGAAGTTTCCACTTTCACCACTACAGACTCTGAAGGTAACGTCTCCACCGGCACCACCACTTACCCAGTTGAACACACCTCCAGATCTTCTGAGGAATCGTTAGAAGTTTCCACTTTCACCACTACAGATTCTGAAGGTAACGTTTCCACCGGTACCACTACTTACCCAGTTGAACACACCTCCAGATCTTCTGAGGAATCATTGGAAGTTTCCACTTTCACCACTACAGACTCTGAAGGTAACGTTTCCACCGGTACCACCACTTACCCAGTTGAACACACCTCCAGATCTTCTGAGGAATCATTGGAAGTTTCCACTTTCACCACTACAGACTCTGAAGGTAACGTTTCCACCGGCACCACCACTTACCCAGTTGAACACACCTCCAGATCTTCTGAGGAATCATTGGAAGTTTCCACTTTCACCACTACAGACTCTGAAGGTAACGTTTCCACCGGTACCACCACTTACCCAGTTGAACACACCTCCAGATCTTCTGAGGAATCGTTAGAAGTTTCCACTTTCACCACTACAGACTCTGAAGGTAACGTTTCCACCGGTACCACTACTTACCCAGTTGAACACACCTCCAGATCTTCTGAGGAATCATTGGAAGTTTCCACTTTCACCACTACAGACTCTGAAGGTAACGTTTCCACCGGCACCACCACTTACCCAGTTGAACACACCTCCAGATCTTCTGAGGAATCGTTAGAAGTTTCCACTTTCACCACTACAGATTCTGAAGGTAACGTTTCCACCGGCACCACCACTTACCCAGTTGAACACACCTCCAGATCTTCTGAGGAATCATTGGAAGTTTCCACTTTCACCACTACAGACTCTGAAGGTAATGTGTCCACTGGCACCACTACTTACCCAGTTGAGCACACCTCCAGATCTTCTGAGGAATCGTTAGAAGTTTCCACTTTCACCACTACAGATTCTGAAGGTAACGTTTCCACCGGCACCACTACTTACCCAGTTGAAGACACCTCCAGATCTTCTGAGGAATCATTGGAAGTATCCACTTTCACTACCACAGATTCTGAGGGTAATGTGTCCACTGGCACCACTACTTACCCAGTTGAACACACCTCCAGATCTTCTGAGGAATCGTTAGAAGTTTCCACTTTCACCACTACAGACTCTGAAGGTAACGTTTCCACCGGTACCACTACTTACCCAGTTGAACACACCTCCAGATCTTCTGAGGAATCATTGGAAGTTTCCACTTTCACCACTACAGACTCTGAAGGTAACGTTTCCACCGGCACCACCACTTACCCAGTTGAACACACCTCCAGATCTTCTGAGGAATCGTTAGAAGTTTCCACTTTCACCACTACAGACTCTGAAGGTAACGTTTCCACCGGCACCACCACTTACCCAGTTGAACACACCTCCAGATCTTCTGAGGAATCGTTAGAAGTTTCCACTTTCACCACTACAGACTCTGAAGGTAACGTTTCCACCGGCACCACCACTTACCCAGTTGAACACACCTCCAGATCTTCTGAGGAATCATTGGAAGTTTCCACTTTCACCACTACAGACTCTGAAGGTAACGTTTCCACCGGCACCACCACTTACCCAGTTGAACACACCTCCAGATCTTCTGAGGAATCATTGGAAGTTTCCACTTTCACCACTACAGACTCTGAAGGTAACGTTTCCACCGGTACCACCACTTACCCAGTTGAACACACCTCCAGATCTTCTGAGGAATCGTTAGAAGTTTCCACTTTCACCACTACAGACTCTGAAGGTAACGTTTCCACCGGTACCACTACTTACCCAGTTGAACACACCTCCAGATCTTCTGAGGAATCGTTAGAAGTTTCCACTTTCACCACTACAGACTCTGAAGGTAACGTTTCCACCGGTACCACCACTTACCCAGTTGAACACACCTCCAGATCTTCTGAGGAATCGTTAGAAGTTTCCACTTTCACCACTACAGATTCTGAAGGTAACGTTTCCACCGGCACCACTACTTACCCAGTTGAACACACCTCCAGATCTTCTGAGGAATCATTGGAAGTTTCCACTTTCACCACTACAGATTCTGAAGGTAACGTTTCCACCGGCACCACTACTTACCCAGTTGAACACACCTCCAGATCTTCTGAGGAATCATTGGAAGTTTCCACTTTCACCACTACAGACTCTGAAGGTAACGTTTCCACCGGTACCACCACTTACCCAGTTGAACACACCTCCAGATCTTCTGAGGAATCGTTAGAAGTTTCCACTTTCACCACTACAGATTCTGAAGGTAACGTTTCCACCGGCACCACCACTTACCCAGTTGAACACACCTCCAGATCTTCTGAGGAATCATTGGAAGTTTCCACTTTCACCACTACAGACTCTGAAGGTAATGTGTCCACTGGCACCACTACTTACCCAGTTGAGCACACCTCCAGATCATCTGAGGAATCATTGGAAGTATCCACTTTCACTACCACAGATTCTGAGGGTAATGTGTCCACTGGCACCACTACTTACCCAGTTGAGCACACCTCCAGATCTTCTGAGGAATCGTTAGAAGTTTCCACTTTCACCACTACAGACTCTGAAGGTAACGTTTCCACCGGCACCACCACTTACCCAGTTGAACACACCTCCAGATCTTCTGAGGAATCATTGGAAGTTTCCACTTTCACCACTACAGACTCTGAAGGTAACGTTTCCACCGGTACCACTACTTACCCAGTTGAACACACCTCCAGATCTTCTGAGGAATCATTGGAAGTTTCCACTTTCACCACTACAGACTCTGAAGGTAACGTTTCCACCGGCACCACTACTTACCCAGTTGAACACACCTCCAGATCTTCTGAGGAATCGTTAGAAGTTTCCACTTTCACCACTACAGACTCTGAAGGTAACGTTTCCACCGGTACCACTACTTACCCAGTTGAACACACCTCCAGATCTTCTGAGGAATCATTGGAAGTTTCCACTTTCACCACTACAGACTCTGAAGGTAACGTTTCCACCGGCACCACCACTTACCCAGTTGAACACACCTCCAGATCTTCTGAGGAATCGTTAGAAGTTTCCACTTTCACCACTACAGACTCTGAAGGTAACGTTTCCACCGGCACCACCACTTACCCAGTTGAACACACCTCCAGATCTTCTGAGGAATCATTGGAAGTTTCCACTTTCACCACTACAGACTCTGAAGGTAACGTTTCCACCGGTACCACCACTTACCCAGTTGAACACACCTCCAGATCTTCTGAGGAATCGTTAGAAGTTTCCACTTTCACCACTACAGATTCTGAAGGTAACGTTTCCACCGGCACCACCACTTACCCAGTTGAACACACCTCCAGATCTTCTGAGGAATCATTGGAAGTTTCCACTTTCACCACTACAGACTCTGAAGGTAATGTGTCCACTGGCACCACTACTTACCCAGTTGAGCACACCTCCAGATCATCTGAGGAATCATTGGAAGTATCCACTTTCACTACCACAGATTCTGAGGGTAATGTGTCCACTGGCACCACTACTTACCCAGTTGAGCACACCTCCAGATCATCTGAGGAATCATTGGAAGTATCCACTTTCAGTACCACAGATTCTGAGGGTAATGTGTCCACTGGCACCACTACTTACCCAGTTGAGCACACCTCCAGATCTTCTGAGGAATCATTGGAAGTTTCCACTTTCACCACTACAGACTCTGAAGGTAACGTTTCCACCGGCACCACTACTTACCCAGTTGAACACACCTCCAGATCTTCTGAGGAATCATTGGAAGTTTCCACTTTCACCACTACAGACTCTGAAGGTAACGTTTCCACCGGTACCACCACTTACCCAGTTGAACACACCTCCAGATCTTCTGAGGAATCATTAGAGATGTCTAATTTGAGTATTATAGTTTCACAAACTAAGGGTTTTAGTGAGTCTTTATTTTTGTCGGTTTCACATGGATTGGTATTTAGTTCTGGTCCTTATGATTCCTCATTTAGGGAAGTAATAGTTTCTAATAGTAAAGCTATTTCCGGATCATTTGGAATAAGTGAATCTTCTACTGAAATTGTTTCGTCTAATTTAGATAAGTCTATCATATCATATGCGTCAGTTGGCTATTATAATTCCTCACAACCAGAATCAAGTACTTTAACTGCTACTAGTTACTCTAAAATGCCAAGCAGTTGTACTTCATATACAACTAAGTTAAGCATCTATAACAGTATTAATGCTGACATCAAGGTAACAACTAGAACGATAACAAGTGGAACTATTTCACTAACCAGTAGTACCATATCACTCACGGGTAAATATACATCAGTAACTAGTACTTTGATGTTAGGCACCAGCTCATTCTCAATAAATTACGCTGTCACCTCTTCTGGTGTTCCAGCTCCAGTCACTACAGTTGTATCCTCTGGTAGCCACACCGAAACCGACGTCATCTCTTTCTACACCACTACCGACTCTGAAGGTGAAGTCGTTACCACTTCTACCACCTACCCAGTCACCTCTTCTGGTGTTCCAGCTCCAGTCACTACTGTTGTATCCTCTGGTAGCCACACCGAAACCGACGTCATCTCTTTCTACACCACTACCGACTCTGAAGGTGAAGTCGTTACCACTTCTACCACCTACCCAGTCACCTCATCAGGTGTTCCAGCTCCAGTCACTACTGTTGTATCCTCTGGTAGCCACACCGAAACCGATGTCATCTCTTTCTACACCACTACCGACTCTGAAGGTGAAGTCGTTACCACTTCTACCACCTACCCAGTCACCTCTTCTGGTGTTCCAGCTCCAGTCACTACAGTTGTATCCTCTGGTAGCCACACCGAAACTGATGTCATCTCTTTCTACACCACTACCGACTCTGAAGGTGAAGTCGTTACCACTTCTACCACCTACCCAGTCACCTCATCAGGTGTTCCAGCTCCAGTCACTACTGTTGTATCCTCTGGTAGCCACACCGAAACCGATGTCATCTCTTTCTACACCACTACCGACTCTGAAGGTGAAGTCGTTACCACTTCTACCACCTACCCAGTCACCTCATCAGGTGTTCCAGCTCCAGTCACTACTGTTGTATCCTCTGGTAGCCACACCGAAACCGATGTCATCTCTTTCTACACCACTACCGACTCTGAAGGTGAAGTCGTTACCACTTCTACCACCTACCCAGTCACCTCTTCTGGTGTTCCAGCTCCAGTCACTACAGTTGTATCCTCTGGTAGCCACACCGAAACTGATGTAATCTCTTTCTACACCACTACCGACTCTGAAGGTGAAGTCGTTACCACTTCTACCACCTACCCAGTCACCTCATCAGGTGTTCCAGCTCCAGTCACTACTGTTGTATCCTCTGGTAGCCACACCGAAACCGACGTCATCTCTTTCTACACCACTACCGACTCTGAAGGTGAAGTCGTTACCACTTCTACCACCTACCCAGTCACCTCATCAGGTGTTCCAGCTCCAGTCACTACTGTTGTATCCTCTGGTAGCCACACCGAAACCGATGTCATCTCTTTCTACACCACTACCGACTCTGAAGGTGAAGTCGTTACCACTTCTACCACCTACCCAGTCACCTCATCAGGTGTTCCAGCTCCAGTCACTACTGTTGTATCCTCTGGTAGCCACACCGAAACCGATGTCATCTCTTTCTACACCACTACCGACTCTGAAGGTGAAGTCGTTACCACTTCTACCACCTACCCAGTCACCTCTTCTGGTGTTCCAGCTCCAGTCACTACTGTTGTATCCTCTGGTAGCCACACCGAAACTGATGTCATCTCTTTCTACACCACTACCGACTCTGAAGGTGAAGTCGTTACCACTTCTACCACCTACCCAGTCACCTCTTCTGGTGTTCCAGCTCCAGTCACTACTGTTGTATCCTCTGGTAGCCACACCGAAACCGATGTCATCTCTTTCTACACCACTACCGACTCTGAAGGTGAAGTCGTTACCACTTCTACCACCTACCCAGTCACCTCATCAGGTGTTCCAGCTCCAGTCACTACTGTTGTATCCTCTGGTAGCCACACCGAAACCGACGTCATCTCTTTCTACACCACTACCGACTCTGAAGGTGAAGTCGTTACCACTTCTACCACCTACCCAGTCACCTCATCAGGTGTTCCAGCTCCAGTCACTACTGTTGTATCCTCTGGTAGCCACACCGAAACCGATGTCATCTCTTTCTACACCACTACCGACTCTGAAGGTGAAGTCGTTACCACTTCTACCACCTACCCAGTCACCTCTTCTGGTGTTCCAGCTCCAGTCACTACTGTTGTATCCTCTGGTAGCCACACCGAAACCGACGTCATCTCTTTCTACACCACTACCGACTCTGAAGGTGAAGTCGTTACCACTTCTACCACCTACCCAGTCACCTCATCAGGTGTTCCAGCTCCAGTCACTACTGTTGTATCCTCTGGTAGCCACACCGAAACCGATGTCATCTCTTTCTACACCACTACCGACTCTGAAGGTGAAGTCGTTACCACTTCTACCACCTACCCAGTCACCTCATCAGGTGTTCCAGCTCCAGTCACTACTGTTGTATCCTCTGGTAGCCACACCGAAACCGATGTCATCTCTTTCTACACCACTACCGACTCTGAAGGTGAAGTCGTTACCACTTCTACCACCTACCCAGTCACCTCTTCTGGTGTTCCAGCTCCAGTCACTACAGTTGTATCCTCTGGTAGCCACACCGAAACTGATGTAATCTCTTTCTACACCACTACCGACTCTGAAGGTGAAGTCGTTACCACTTCTACCACCTACCCAGTCACCTCATCAGGTGTTCCAGCTCCAGTCACTACTGTTGTATCCTCTGGTAGCCACACCGAAACCGACGTCATCTCTTTCTACACCACTACCGACTCTGAAGGTGAAGTCGTTACCACTTCTACCACCTACCCAGTCACCTCATCAGGTGTTCCAGCTCCAGTCACTACTGTTGTATCCTCTGGTAGCCACACCGAAACCGACGTCATCTCTTTCTACACCACTACCGACTCTGAAGGTGAAGTCGTTACCACTTCTACCACCTACCCAGTCACCTCATCAGGTGTTCCAGCTCCAGTCACTACTGTTGTATCCTCTGGTAGCCACACCGAAACCGATGTCATCTCTTTCTACACCACTACCGACTCTGAAGGTGAAGTCGTTACCACTTCTACCACCTACCCAGTCACCTCTTCTGGTGTTCCAGCTCCAGTCACTACTGTTGTATCCTCTGGTAGCCACACCGAAACTGATGTCATCTCTTTCTACACCACTACCGACTCTGAAGGTGAAGTCGTTACCACTTCTACCACCTACCCAGTCACCTCTTCTGGTGTTCCAGCTCCAGTCACTACTGTTGTATCCTCTGGTAGCCACACCGAAACCGATGTCATCTCTTTCTACACCACTACCGACTCTGAAGGTGAAGTCGTTACCACTTCTACCACCTACCCAGTCACCTCATCAGGTGTTCCAGCTCCAGTCACTACTGTTGTATCCTCTGGTAGCCACACCGAAACCGACGTCATCTCTTTCTACACCACTACCGACTCTGAAGGTGAAGTCGTTACCACTTCTACCACCTACCCAGTCACCTCATCAGGTGTTCCAGCTCCAGTCACTACTGTTGTATCCTCTGGTAGCCACACCGAAACCGATGTCATCTCTTTCTACACCACTACCGACTCTGAAGGTGAAGTCGTTACCACTTCTACCACCTACCCAGTCACCTCTTCTGGTGTTCCAGCTCCAGTCACTACAGTTGTATCCTCTGGTAGCCACACCGAAACTGATGTAATCTCTTTCTACACCACTACCGACTCTGAAGGTGAAGTCGTTACCACTTCTACCACCTACCCAGTCACCTCTTCTGGTGTTCCAGCTCCAGTCACTACTGTTGTATCCTCTGGTAGCCACACCGAAACCGACGTCATCTCTTTCTACACCACTACCGACTCTGAAGGTGAAGTCGTTACCACTTCTACCACCTACCCAGTCACCTCTTCTGGTGTTCCAGCTCCAGTCACTACAGTTGTATCCTCTGGTAGCCACACCGAAACCGATGTCATCTCTTTCTACACCACTACCGACTCTGAAGGTGAAGTCGTTACCACTTCTACCACCTACCCAGTCACCTCTTCTGGTGTTCCAGCTCCAGTCACTACTGTTGTATCCTCTGGTAGCCACACCGAAACCGATGTCATCTCTTTCTACACCACTACCGACTCTGAAGGTGAAGTCGTTACCACTTCTACCACCTACCCAGTCACCTCTTCTGGTGTTCCAGCTCCAGTCACTACTGTTGTATCCTCTGGTAGCCACACCGAAACCGATGTCATCTCTTTCTACACCACTACCGACTCTGAAGGTGAAGTCGTTACCACTTCTACCACCTACCCAGTCACCTCATCAGGTGTTCCAGCTCCAGTCACTACAGTTGTATCCTCTGGTAGCCACACCGAAACCGATGTCATCTCTTTCTACACCACTACCGACTCTGAAGGTGAAGTCGTTACCACTTCTACCACCTACCCAGTCACCTCTTCTGGTGTTCCAGCTCCAGTCACTACAGTTGTATCCTCTGGTAGCCACACCGAAACCGATGTCATCTCTTTCTACACCACTACCGACTCTGAAGGTGAAGTCGTTACCACTTCTACCACCTACCCAGTCACCTCATCAGGTGTTCCAGCTCCAGTCACTACTGTTGTATCCTCTAGTAGCTACACCGAAACCGACGTCATCTCTTTCTACACCACTACCGACTCTGAAGGTGAAGTCGTTACCACTTCTACCACCTACCCAGTCACCTCTTCTGGTGTTCCAGCTCCAGTCACTACTGTTGTATCCTCTGGTAGCCACACCGAAACCGACGTCATCTCTTTCTACACCACTACCGACTCTGAAGGTGAAGTCGTTACCACTTCTACCACCTACCCAGTCACCTCTTCTGGTGTTCCAGCTCCAGTCACTACTGTTGTATCCTCCGGTAGCCACACCGAAACCGATGTCATCTCTTTCTACACCACTACCGACTCTGAAGGTAATGTTACCAATGGTACCACCACCTACATAGTCTCTCACACTAGTGAAGAAGAAGTCACCACTTTTACCTACACTTCCACCGATTCTGAAGGTAATGTTACCACTGGTACGACTACTTTGGAGGCGTCGGAAGTTTCCAGGTCGAGTGTCGTAGTTACGGATAGTGTTTCTACAGTAACTGTAACTATGTCTGATGGTAATGTGGTAACTTTGACGACTACTGTTCCATGTTCTACTTCTGTAGGTTCAACTAGGCCAACAGATAACACTGTTACTTACATTACCACCACTGACTCTGCTGGTCACACAACTGTTATAACCTCATCTGCTGCTAGTGAAAATGCTAAACCAACAGATAACACTGTTACCCATATCACCACCACTGACTCTGCTGGTCACACAACTGTTATAACCTCATCTGCTGCTAGTGAAAATGCTAAACCAACAGATAACACTGTTACCCATATCACCACCACTGACTCTGCTGGTCACACAACTGTTATAACCTCATCTGCTGCTAGTGAAAATGCTAAACCAACAGATAACACTGTTACCCATATCACCACCACTGACTCTGCTGGTCACACAACTGTTATAACCTCATCTGCTGCTAGTGAAACTGCTAAACCAACAGATAACACTGTTACTCACATTACCACTACCGACTCTGCAGGTCATACGACTGTTATAACCTCATCTGTTCCAACTTCTAATACACAAAGTGTAACTACATTGGTTCCACCAGGTAGCTCTATGTCAACTGTATCTTCAGATTTGAATACTTCTGTCACTGATGATGTCACATCATCTGGATCTAACCCATCTGCTACTGTAGGTATCTCATCTTCTTATGAAGGTGCTGGTGTATCAAATAAGATAAGCAATTCATTATCCGGTTTGATTGGTATGATTGTTTTGGCAATTTTGGTTTAGTCTATTTAAGATTTATAACTACCGTTTTTAGTTCGTTAATTTATTCAAATATTGTATAAATAATCTAGACAATATATATTATTTGTGTTATTTTATTAGATTTAGATTTCGTTAAGAAGCTATTTTCAGTCAGATATAGATTACAATACTATTTAAGTGAGTGTATATTAATGTATAAAATTTCATGGACTAGAGGAGTAACTTATTACTGGTTGCATATATTAATAAATCAAATAGAATTCAATGTTTATAAGTATAGCTTGAAAGCAGGATCTTTCTTAGTTTTAATTTGGATGTTTTAATTTGGATGATCTTATGGATATAGAAGTCTGTGGATTTGTTGCAGGGTTTATATTTAGTGTAGGTTACTTATATGAAATGGAAATAATTAACAGAAATAGTGAATAAAAAACATGATATTATTATTGATTATTTCAAATATATGTGATTGCTTTATATTTTATATCTAATAAGTAATCCTGTATTGTTTGATCCAGAATATTAAATATTAGGGTATGAAGTATTTATATAGGCCTTATTGGCATTTTATTAGTGTCCTTCTTTTTCCTTATTCTTGTTGTTTTGTACAAAAACGAATTCACTACTAAACACAAGACTGCCTTTTAAGTTTAGTTTTTTCAAAAATATTTTGTTGGTGGAAGTAAAAAGGCAGAAGATAAAAAAATGAATGCCAAAATATAAAAGTATAAAGTACTTCGAAGGTTAATTGTAGGATTAGAAGTATGCTGATTAAAAATCAAGCCTTATATATGTGAGTGAGATATTTTGTGTTTGAAATATGGAATTGATTGAATTATATTTTAAGAGTTATTTAATGTGGTTTTCATTTTATATTTTTAATAATATACCCTAATATGCAGCAGTACGATGATAGATATTAGAAGAAGTCAATATGTATTTTTTTGATATTATTGTAAATATACGATTCAAATACTTTCTTTATAGTAAGCTTGGAGTAAACGAATTCTGAGATAAATAGATTAAAATAGTTCATTGAGAGGATATTAGATTATTGTCATAACTTTATGTAATATTATATAATCTAGTTATATGTAGACACAAATAGAGAATGTACTTGTATTACCATTTATTTGAAGTACGATATGATAAGATAGATTAAGATAGAAGTATCACTGTTATGAGAAAGTTTAATAATATATTATACTTTATAAGTAGACAATATTTTGGAGTCAAATAAAAGTTTTGTATATTTTTCTTGAATATTTGGGTAATATACGGAATACTATGCAAAATGCAAATTTAAGATATATTATTAACTATGGTACCGGAAGTATAGATCCTTGTATTATATGTAGGTTCTTTGTTTGTTTGTAGTCTGGAAACTATTTATTAATGAAAAATAAACTAGATCTGTGACAGAAAAAGGGAAATGTGGGTGGTAAAGACTAAATTTATTTCTGATATGAATTTCTATTCTAGAAATCTTGAAATGATTATGAGGTATATTATGTATAATTTAATGTGTGTTAAATTGTAAGAGATTATGAAGTATGAAAGTCAAGTGAGAGTTATGTATTCAAGTGTCGAGATGGAAGTAATATTATAGTTATATAATGGTAATTATAAATTTTAGTGTTGTCAAAATTGTTTGTGTTAATTTAGATTATTTAAATTAAAAAAGATAGTTGATTATTATTTGGATGAGAAATTTGAGTGTAAAGCATAGGCAAATACTAGATAATGACAGTATGGATAGGCCTTTAGGTGCAAGGAAATTTTTATTTAGTGGCAAGGCTTTCCAAGAAGAGTATTTCATTGATCATTATAGCGATGTTAGAAATATGTTCTATGATAATTTAAGAAAACTAAAGAATTATTACAATGATCAAAGATATTAAAGATTTAACTGCAGTGGCAGAAATGAGCCAAAGATAAGAATTATTCATTTATTTCATAGAGATATTCGGAGGTCACTGATTTCAACACCTGGTTCCTATAATGAATGTCGATGTAGGTTAGAAACTGAGAAAGAACTAATAACAGTTTCCAAGTTATCACTCTTTTGTTGATTCATGTTAAACTATATTGTTGAGACGCTAATCCTTAATTCTATTATACATAACTATATAAGGATTAGATAGGGAGCAAGAATAGTTTTCACTAAGATAGAAAATTATCCCTTTATGTAACTTATGGAGTTCATTTAATTATTCTATATAGATGCTACCTATACTGGTTTGCTGGTTTGCTTTTAATGCTAGCCATATTCCAACAATTTGTAAAATCTTTTATGCTATTATTACTGATGAAGAAAAATATAGGGAATACCTAAATCTGATAATTCGTCTATCCTGTTTTGATTGGAATAAACCATCTAAGAAGTTACCATCTACTATATCATACTTGAAGTTTCGGTATATCTTAGATTTCTTGAAATGTTGGACAGCTTATGCAACTCTATTCCGTAGTGTCCAATTAAAGAATATTTCAAGTACGTTAAAATTATTCACGTCTTCTATCGAATTAGAACAAAGCAAAGCCTACTGTTTAATTAAAGATACTTATAAGAATCTGCTTAAAGAAATAACAGATATTCCTGGACATTCCTTTATACCTTTAGGTCCTGGGAAATATTTGTTAGATGGTAAGTCATTTCAAAAAGAATATTTAGTTCATCTTTATAGCGACGCTAAAAAATTGTTCGATAGTAAGTTAGAAGATCTAGGTCATTATTACAAAGATCTTAGAGATATATCTGTGGTGGCAGAAATGACAATCAAATCCCCCAAATGTGTTCCCTTTGAAAGCAGAGATCAGCCAAAGATAAGTATTACTGATTTGTTTAACAGAGATACTCAGTTATCTGTAATTCCAACAATTGGTTTCTATAATGAAGATGATCATAATAGAATTATAAATCTAGTTGTGGATTGTCTAACTTGTTTAATGTTGATGATCTACATCTCTTCTGGTAGTCCATATAGGTTTCCTGAAATGAGAGTACTTAAGTTTGCTGGTAATGCAAGAAATTTGTTCATTAACCCGATTGACAAAACAGTGGAGCTCATTACTACTTTTTAAAAAAATAAATCCCATATTCCTATATGCAAGGTCGTCTATGAGTTGACTTCTGACTATATTATATATGCTATTTTGGTTCTATCTCCAATTATTCGTAAGCATACTAATGAGATGAACTACGTTATGAATCGTGATTTACTAAATGAAATAAGTTCCGAAAGTAATTTGAATCAATGTGTTATTGACCTCACACCTCAACAAGATTTAAGTGATAATGAATTCACTTCTCAAGTATTAGATTCTTATTTATTTGTTGATCCGATTAGACGGACTTTGATCGATTATAATAAGTTTAGTTTCCTTATTAAACACTATCCTTCATGCGAACTTGAAAACTTACGCTTTAATTTTAGGGCCTTAAGACATGCAATTATTGGTATTCAAAGATATGAGTTATCTGTCGATGATACTGGTATGCGTATTGATCCAGCGGCTGCAAGGCAGGCTGGTCATTTTTTGTCGACAGACATCCAGAGGTATAGCGTTAATTCTACCGGTATGGCAGGATATCAAAATACCACAGCAACAATATATGGATATTTCATTTCCAAATCCTGGATAAAATTACTGGGTCTTGGATATGAAGTTTCAAATTTGGTTCCTAAAGATGTAAAATTAAATAAAGAGAAGCCTAATTTCCTAGTAAGTGGTAACATGAAAGGCATTATTGCTAAATGTGATGAAATTTATGGAGACTCATTTAAGATTAAACCAGAACAGATGGAACTTTGTGTTGATGTTTGTTTTGGTTCCTCTGATATTATTCCAGTGTATGCTCTTCCTGGCTTTGGTAAAACAGTTATATTTGAAATACCTTTGAATATAATATCAACTAATAAAAGGAATAAGCATTTTGTTTCTTTTGTATTTGTGCCATATAGCTGTCTTCTAGACGATATTATGGATCGTTTTAAGCTGTCTGGTACTTTGAAAATTGGTGAAGTTAAAGATATTCTGCGCAATCGTGGATTTTGTGGTGAAGCTGAACTTACCTGTGATGTTTATTTTGGAACTTTTCATGACTTCGGAAAAGAACAGTTCTTGAATTTAATCAACAATTGGTATGATATTTTTCAGAATACTTTACTAGGTATGATGGTAATTGATGAAGCTCACAATCTTGTTTGCGAACAGGAATATCGTATGGACTCTTTTTTTAATATTTCTAATATCTGTTTTGACAAAGCTTGGAAGGTTTTACATCTGTCTGGTACTGTTGGTGAAAATATGATGGGAGAAGTGACTAAATTTTTGGGATATAGGCAAGATTTGACCTATTATGCTACTGATAACAAAAATATTCTTTGGTATAATTTTGTTAAGAATGTTCCTTTAAGTAGAATAGATAAGGAATTCATTCTTACTAAAGACAGATCTGAATCCATTACTTTGGCCCTGCAATTGGTTGAAGGAATTATTAATACTATAGATAATCCCAAAATCATTCTTGTTCGTAAGGAAAGGGAAATGGTGGAGATTATAAATCAAAATTTGGTTAATAACAATATTTCTTCTTGTTATGTTCATGGAAAATTAACATCTGAAGAAAAAACCATTTCATTCAACAGATTCAAAAAGAACAAAGAAAAAAAAATTCTTGTTGGAACTAAATTGGTTTCAGAAGGTATTAATATTCCAGAATTGAAATATGTTATTTTGGTTAATTATCTTCCTCAAATTCACGAATATATCCAGACTGCTGGAAGAATTAGAGGGGAGAGTGCATGTATTACACTGTGGAATGAAGCATGTAGAGATGAATTCTCCATCAATTCCAAGTGTATCGTGAGCCAAATGAGTAGTTTCTATGGTCTAGCAAATATATCTGAGCATGAATCTTGTTGTGGTTCATATAAATTTTTGAATAATAATAATAATGATAGGTTGTTGGAAGTGTTAGGTAAGAAGAAGGGAAAAAAAATTAACGGGTTGATAGAGGAAAGAAATGAAATTATTAAATCGAGTGTTGAGGAAGTTATTAGAAAGAGAAAATTTTGTACATCAGGAACGAATGAAATGATTCCTTCAAATAAAAAGTTTCATAATGAAATGGTCAAAAATAATATTAAAGTTACTTTGAAAGAAGATTTACATGCAAAATTTAAAAATGCACGTAATATTTTTGAATTCTTAGGAATTACTGGAAATTCTAAGTCAGCTTTGATTGCTGATGGTGTCGAACAATCCTACTTTGATTTTCTTCTTTATGATTCTGATTTTGTTTATTATGATTCTGATTTATGTTCTGATTGTACAGGTACTGATGGTATCTGTTACTGTTGGGACAAAAAATTCACTCTAAAGCAATGTGGTATTAGCTGTTTTACTTTTATGAAAATGGCTATGACTGATGCAATGTATTCTGCTGAAGTGACAGAGTTAGAAAACTCAGGTCTATTAAAATGTATACTTTCTTTTATTGAAAGAAAATCTACCATGATGAAGTTATTTGATCAAAATCTTAAGAGATATTGTAAATTTGTTACCAGTCGGAGTACTTTCGAAGTGAATGAAGCTCATGATTTCAGAAAGATGGTAAATACTTATAACGTTAAATGGAGATATCTAAAGCAAAATAAGCTCGACATCTTTTTGTATTTCTATAATGGGTCACTTCAAGATGCTCCAACATTATGGAACAAGCCATATGAAGAATATATAACGGAACTTAATCAATCCAATTTCAGCAATTATGCAAATGCTTTATTTAAGGCCACTGAGGATACCAGTTTTGAATTCTTTAAATCATTATTTAAGTTTGACAAATTAAAGCAATGTTCAAAATATGATCAAAATAAAGATATGATGAATCGTGAAGGAATTGGTAATAATGAATCAGGTTTAGTTATTGTGGATGATAAGAAATTTCTCTTGATGCTTATTGGACTTTATTATAATGTTGACTTTCGAAAACATCTGAAGGTATATTTCAACAAGTTGCCAGATGTAAAAATGTTCCACCAATGGGTGAAACTACAGAAGACTAGGATTAATATTAAAAAGTTGGAAATACCTAATGCCAACGAACGTCAGCCAATATATTATTACTATCATAAATTGCTTATGGAAGCCAAATATCCTGATGATAGTACGGGCTACTTTTGTACTGGAGATATATTATATGTGTATATTAAAATGGATATAAATCTTTGTTGTGATGTTAATGTGTATTACTTATAGGACCATTCATTGTCATAACCAGACCAGATAATCGTGGCAATGCCACGATCCAATGATGTCAGGGTCTGTTTTATAAGGCCATCAAATCACACCGAGGCTGATATCTCAATTCTAAGCCAAAGTGAAATATTCTTTTTAATATTCTTGTAATTCGTTATTCACCCTGAAAAGATTAAACTTTTCTTCTCGCTCACAAAATGAAAAAGTTTTTCCCGGTCGGTGATGTTTGTTAGGGAAGGTATTAAGACGGTGATGGCGTAAGGTAATATTAAAAGAGGTAGTGATAGTTAGAGTGGTGATGATTAAAGTAGTTGTAGTTAAAGTAGTTATATTTAAGGTGAGATAATGGGAATTGGCATCTAAGGTAAAGATGACATGGAGATTAAGATTATTATATAAAATATGGCATAACAATAAAAGTTAGTCTATAACAGTAAGCCAATTATTCGAGAGAATATTCAATAGTGACAGTGTCGATTGTGAGCGCAGATTCGAAACCAACAGGGTGTATGTATCCTTGGATAGAGGAACATCAGTTGGGGTAGACTGTGTAGCAGAGTAAGACATAGTTAGGATATTATAAACAAATTATTGATTGGATTGGTTCTAAGGTATAAGTACAATTATACGTTAGAAACCTCTAAAACTGTTGTTCTTACATATCATTATAGAAAGAATAACTAAAGGGTGAGAATAGTTTTATTAACATACAAAACTATCCCTATAGATGCCTTACCAATTCCATCCAATTGGTCTAATTATATGCTGATTTGTTGTTTTGCTGGTATACTGGTTTGCATCTATTGATTCCCAGAATCCAACACTGGTAAGAGAAGTTTTGCAGAAGCAGCTAGGTAAAATTGAGTTGGAAGTACCTATGATAAGCATTCCTTCAATGTTATAAATTTATAAGACATCTATAAGAAATATGAATATAGTTAACACGGAATGATATATATTTGATTATCGTACTTATGTCGGGCTTAATTAGAAACTGAGAAGCAGAAATAGAACATAATAGAAAAAAATTATCGTTCAGAGGCTATTAGCTGAAACTTAATTCAGTATGCACTTATTATAGAATTGCATTTTCTGCAAGATCCATATCATCACAGAATCCCATTTATACTAATTTTAGTCATATTACATCATGATTTTGTTTAATTCGCTATACTATTAATGATGTATTAATTGGTGTTCTCATCAGGAATTTTGCAACTGTGTCATTGCATAGGTAGAATGGGGTTTAATCCATGTGTAGTTTAATTTATATATTATATAGTGTGTACTTCTGATAGATATATTATCACAACCAGGTAACTGTTTACTCTTTGACTGTATAAGCTAACATATGTATTTGGAATCAAATATTGAAATAGAAAGAAAATACCATATGGCCAGGTAACAGAAGATAGGAGGTAGGATGAGAGGATGGGGAAATACTAAGAAGTGGACCAGATTATATTTAAGAGTGAGTGTCTAAATTAGAGTTACAATTTTGCAAGTGAATTCCTTGTGGCCGAAATAGACACATTAGCAGCATGATCCTGGATGCTAAGAAGACATTGGATTGTTATTAAAAATTTAATATTCAACAGAAACGAATACCCTTTGATAAGTTGCAGTGTAAGTATCTGTTATATATTGAACAGTTCCAACTTATTAGATTAAGTGTGTGTTAACATATAACAATGTTACAATTACTTCTATGCGATTTTTTTGTTTTAGAAAAATGTCGAAAACCTATATTCGAGTTGTATCACCAATGAGATATTATTGCGAACCGAGAATGTTTTTAATGTCTGTTAATGTATTTTATAGCATCCAAATGGGTTTTTCTTCTTAATCGAATTAACAGTTTTAATTAAATGGATCAAGTTGAATTTACTTCCTTCCCAAGTTAGTGTTGAAATAATATTCGTATTATATTTCAGATTTGAAATATTTATTTTACCTTGCTTCAATTCATTATAATATTATGCTAAATTGCCTGATATTAAAGCCAGTGATTAATTTCGGTATCAAACAGTCAGCACATTGAAATATAAGTATGCTTTAAAGTTCTATTTTATAAAAATATTCTTTTTTGGATGGAAGTGGTAGTAGAATTGGAATTGGAAAAAATACAAATGTTAAATGACGGAATATTAGATGTTTGGGGGAAGGAATTGGTTGAGGAGGTAAGATTGATAAATGTCACATTGTACTATAATCCAGGTGGAGCTCTAATATGTATGGATTATTTGGTTATGAATATTCCGTGTAGTATATTAGACTATATAGTAATATTTGGTGATATTATGATGGATATTAGAATATTGTATTTGATAGGGGAGTACCAACTCTTCTAGAATATGAAATATGAACTTGTAACTCCCATGTTATTCACAAAACTTAATCTATTAACCAATCAAATAATTACATTGGATTTTGAAAATAAAGTCCATTCCTTTGTTTATAGACAATAAATATTAGAACGTTATTTAATAGATTTATATCACGATTATTAATAATATGAATATTCAGAATATGAAAGTGATATAACCAATTGAACTTTTTTTCGAGAAACAATCACTCTTGGGAACCTATACTATTAGTTGGTATTGACTTTTGTGTTTTGGAAGATGTTTAGCATTAGAGGCATAACCAGCAACTAATTAGAATAATTATATGAAATGTTTAAGCTATATAAAGTGATAGTTATTTCTCTTAATAAAACTATTACTCGCCAAGATATATTTAATATTACAGTTCATTTGGTATTGAAATTAGTGGTAGGCAAAACATATTTTACAATACCAATCACATTATTAAATGTTTCTTAAGTTCAAAATATTTAAATATAACATATGTCTAAGTGAAGGATTGATACACCAGAGTATGAATACAATGTAGCTATAGTATGCATTTTAATTGGAGATCTGTATATAAAATAACAATATACACTTTCTTAAAATTATAATTATGACTAAATTGGTGGTTGGTATCCTTTTGCTTCTATATATTAGATAGAGTTTATGATAGTTAAATCACTTTTATATAAATATATTACAACTTACAGCAAGCATTTTACTGTAGAGAATCGGTGGAGGCCTTATTATACTGTCTATCTGTGATGTCTTATTTGACCAGTATTTGGTAAGTTTTAATTATTATATAGTTGTATAGTTAATTTGGTGTACATTAGAATAAAGTCTGTTATTCATGTATTCTAGAGAAACTTAATGTGGAGATCTGTATTAGAGAGTAAATATACTACTAATTAATAATGTTACTGATGTTTTCTTTATATGCAAGTTAGCATACTAAATAATATACAATAATATACAATAATATACACTAATATACAATAATATACAATAATAACTCTTTATAGCAATAAATGTAACTGAAGCTAGTTTTGGCAATTGTTATTCTAATTATTCCATTGAATCGCAGTAACCTTACTATTTAGGTATAACTGCACCTCTATTAAAAACACGGTGATATAATTTATGACATCCTTATGTGATAAGGATTTGGTATTGATTACGCTTAAGTACAAAGGGATAAAAATATTTATATATTTAACATTACTATATAGTTATTATAATAGTTTGATAACCTCATATATCTTTTAACTAATAACCTTAAGTAATTATATCTACGGCTTGTTTCCCTATATAAATACATTAATACATTAATATTTAATATTCCGGACAAAAAAATTCAAAATGATGAGATTTATGTTTTGTTAGTTTTATATTTAGTGCTATAAATATTATTTATTATCAGTTGGATAAATATGAAACTCATATAAGAAAAAATATTACAAAATATAAAATTATTTATATTAATATATAAGAAAGAGAAAAGTTATAATAAAATAAGTTGAATTATAGAAGTTAATTTAATGGCAGACAACTATTAACAAGAATTAATGACTAGCTAAGAAAGAAGCAAGTTGAGATATTGAAAGTATATCAAATAAACTAGTTCTGTGACAGACATAGGAATTGGTGTATGGTAAAGACTGATATTATTCTGGTTTGGATTTCTGTTAGGGGGATCTTAAAGTCTTATGAGGTGGGAATATATATAATTTAGTGTGTTTTAAATTGTATATGGTAATAATATAAGGGAGTTTTATATTCAAGTGTTGAGATAGATACATATGTATAATGATATATACAATATTATAACGATAGATACAATATTATAACTTGTAGTAGTGCCAATATTAGAATGTGAGTAGGAAGATTGGGATAATTATTTGTGTTGATTTAGATTATTGAAATAAATGAGATAGTAGATTATTATTTTGGTGGGATATATGAGTTTAAGGCAAATGTGAATATTAGATTGTGACAGTGGGGATAAGAGGAGATAGAGTTGAGATGGTAAAAAATTACAACCAGATATGAATTTACAAGAATCGAATTATGTAAATTAGATTTTAAGTTGAGCAATTAGAGTTACTATTACATTTTTAATTTCATCTATATCCCATAGTTAAGGCGAGATTTTTGTCTTTTCATCTGAAATGTTTTACTATGGGAAAATATATTTTGTAGTGCGAGAAGAATCCCATAGTTAAGGCGAGATTTTTATATTTTGGGCAGAATTGCATACTATGGGAAGATGTTTTATTTTGCTCTTAAGGCTGGATAGAGTAAATATGCGTAGCCCAATATTAGGTAGTATTTTTCTCGGTTTGGTATTATTTTTTTAGGATGGATCTGGACCTATATATTATTCTTGATATTCCGGCAGAGCCCATAGTTAAGGCGAGTTTTTTGTATTTGCGGCAGGATGGTTTTACTATGTAAAAATATATTTTGCAAATTCCGACAGGATAAAAATGTATTTGCGAAAGAGTGCAGTAAATATACGCAGGGTAATATTAGGTAGTATTTTTCTCGGTTTGGTATTATTTTTTAGGATTGATCTTGGTTAGGCGAAATGGATGGGAGAGTTGGTATTGTTTTTTAGGAAACGTGATATGGAACAGATTTTCGCGG